GTCGACCTCTCCCAGGCTCTGGGCTTCAGGCCTGCAGTTGACTTGTTAAAAAGGGAAGTTGGCAAGTATCCGGGGGTGTCCCCAAGGACCAGACAGCCAGACCCAAGTCTTCCTAGCATCTGCTTCCCGGAGATACTGTGCACTGTCTGTCAGTATCCTTCTTAGCAATAAGAAGTTTCTTTACCTTTGCCTCAGTTTCCCCATCTTTAACTTGGGGATAAACGTCTGCCTTATAGGAAAATAACGTAAAGCTCTTAGAGCAATACCTGTCACCTTGGGAGTACACAGAAAGTTAGCTGCTATTATTACTGCCCTAATGTTATTTTATTTTATTTTTAAAGATTTATTTCAGAGAGAGCACACACGTGAGCGGGGGAGGGGCTGAGGGAGAGGGAGAGAGAATCCTCGAGCAGACTCCCCGATGAGCACGTAGCCCAACGCAGGGCTGGGTCCCAGCACCCCGAGATCATGACCGGAGTCGAAACCAAGAGTCAGCTGCCTAACAGACTGAGCCACCCAGGCGTCCTGGTTGTCCTGATTTTAAAATGAAGAGCTCACTGTGTGTCAGGCAGTATCCTAAGCACCGTGTGTGTATTTATTGAATTTATTAATTTCATTAACCCCATGACACTACCCAGACATTCCCGTGATCCCCATTTTACAGATGAGAAATCTGAGGCTCCGAGACCTGGAGAGGCTTACCCAAGGTCACGTGCCTGGTCAGGAGCAGATCCTGAGCTGGCCCTGGGTGTACTTGATTTCACAGCTCCTTTGCTGTGGGCGGTGCTGGGTCTGCACCCAATTCACAGATGAGGAAACTGAGGCAATGAGCGTCTGTCACGTGGCTGTGTGAGAAAGCTGAGGTTTGAGTGTGGGTCCAGCAGGTACTTGAGGACTGGGGAGCAAGGGCAGCTGGGCTTCAGAGACACCTGTACAGACCCGGGATCCTGTGCTTCCAGCCCGATTCCCAGCATCTGCCTCACCTCTGCCCCTGTCAGTGGGAGGTCAGGCTGCTTTTCTTGTTAATTTTCTTCTGCAGACACATGGTCAGGCTCTGCAGGGTCCTTCCTTCCTCCACCATCAGCCCCAGGGAGCCCTCTGGCCCTCTGTGGGATTTCATGGTGGCTGGAGAGGGCTGCTGGTGGGTCCCTTCTTGCCCCCTTTCCAAACACGGGGCCCGGGTTTCTCCCAGCCCCCTAGAACCTGCAGCTTCCCCGTTGCTGGCCTCTGTTCCCTTCTGGGGAATTAACCAGAGCCGTTTCCACGTCCCACGTGTGTCCCCAAATAGGATGCTCCTGGCAGCTCTGGGGGACAGCTCCTCTGATAGCCTGTTCCTGAGCTTGGCAAGGCGTAGCTGAGGTTTGATGCTCTCCAAGGACCCCAGGGTGAGTCCTGGGAGCATCTGAGAGGCCTGGATGCCTCGGCGGGGGGACTGAGCCTGGCGCTAGCCAGGTGCTCAAGACAGAATGGACGAGGAGTCGAGCCCCGCCCACACTCACCACCCCTATTCACTCTGCACACGGCTCACTGAGCACCTGTGGTGCCCCCAGCTGTGCAAGGCGCTGAGGACCTGGTGCTCTGGACATGAGGGTCCCTGTCCCCAGCTCTCTGGTGTGTGAAAGCTTCAGATGTCTGTGGCATCTGTGTGCCCACTTTACAGATAGGAAACCGAGTCCGAGGCCGGATTAGCGGTAGCCCGGACCCCTGGCCAATGAAAGCCAGAGGGGCGGTTGGGGGGGGGGGTCCTCAGCCACGTAGCTGCTGGTCGCTTCTTTCCCCTTCTCCCAAAATTCTCCCTCAAGCTCCACGTGGCTGCTCGGACCTGACTTGTCCCCGTGTGGGGGTCTCCCGTGGTGGGGAGGACGGCGTACCCAGAGAAAGTGTCGGCTCCCAGAGAGGGGAACTTACAGACTGCATGTAGCCATGACCTCACACCCGGGTCCAAGGCAGAACGTTCTCTGCCTCAGAGCCTCCTCCTGTCCCTTCCTGGTCCCCCTCCCCGAAGGCAGTTGACCTTTCTCCTGATTTCGGGCTGCATAGGTCAGCGCTCGTACCTTGTGCTCTTTATATAAAGAGGGTCATAGTGCAGTGGTTCTTTGCATTTTGGTCTTTAAGCATATCTTAGGGAAATTTTTTAGATGCCTTATTGAGATACAATGCACGTATCCTACAGTTTACCCATTTAAAGTATGCAGTCAGTTTGAGGACCTTTTCTTTTTTTTTTTTTTAATTGGGAGAGAGAGAATGAGAGACAGAGAGCATGAGAGGGAGGAGGGTCAGAGGGAGAAGCAGACTCCCCGCTGAGCAGGGAGCCCGATGCGGGACTCGATCCAGGGACTCCAGGATCATGACCTGAGCCGAAGGCAGTCGCTTAACCAACTGAGCCACCCAGGTGCCCTCTTTTTTTTTTTAAAGATTTTATTTATTTGAGAGAGAGAGACAGAGAGAGAGGGCATGAGAGGGGGGAGGGTCGGGAGGGTCAGAGGGAGAAGCAGACTCCCTGCTGAGCAGGGAGCCTGATGCGGGACTCGATCCCGGGACTCGATCCCGGGACTCCAGGGTCATGACCTGAGCCGAAGGCAGTCGCTTAATCGACTGAGCCACCCAGGCGCCCCTGAGGACTTTTTCATCACCCCCTCTCCCGTCCCTGCCATGAAACCCTATACCCATTAGCCACCAACCCCTCTATGACCCCACCCCCGGCAGCCAGCAGTCTGCTTTCTGTCTCTGGATCTGCCATGGATCGGCCTGTTCTGGTCATGGCAGATAAATGGATCCCCTAAGATGTGGCCATTTGTGTCCCGCGTCTTCCGCTCAGCACCTGCCTTCGAGCGTCGTCCACATGGTAGCGTGCATCAACACTGCGATCCTTTTTCCGACCAAATAGTATTCCATCACCCTGGGCAACTGTTCTGAGTGTGCCCCTTCTTCAGACCTGGGATCTGAGGAATCTGAAGCATGGTGTCCACGGACACTGGCTCCTGAGTTTGGCCAGGTGACCCCCCCCCGCCCCCGTCTCCCCCGAGCCAGTCCCACCAGGAGCCGCGGGCGGGGGTGGGGGGCGGACAGGAAGGAGCGTGGAGGTGGCCGTGGGCTCACGGAGGGGTCTGGGCATCTGAGCCAGGCTCCCCTTTCCCTTCTGGGAGGTGGGGGACAGGACAGGGGTCAGTCCTGTGCTTCTGCTGGAAGCTTCCAACCCAGACAGTGTTTTTTTTTTTGTTTTTTTTTAAAAGGTTTTTATTTATTTATTTGAGAGAGAGAGCACATGAGAGGGGGGAGGGCCAGAGGGAGAAGCAGACTCCCCGCCGAGCAGGGAGCCCGATGTGGGACTCGATCCCGGGACTCCAGGATCATGACCTGAGCCAAAGGCAGTCGCCCAACCAACTGAGCCACCCAGGCGCCCCAACCCAGACAGTGTTTAGCTCTCTGTGTATTTGGCACTGTGTCCTTCCCGGCATGCGTTTGTTCACGTTTTGAGCCCCAAATCTGTTGACTAGCCCACCCCTGGACACTCTTCATCTCAAGTGTCTGACCTCCTTCCACCTCTGCTGCCTGGGCGTGCATCCTTGCTCCCTGGGATTACCAGCCTGGGCCTTGGGTCCCTTCCAAGGCCACTGCCCCTTGAAGTCCATGGGACAGAAGAAAAACTAGGAAGCAGATTCTGAGAGAAAAGGATGGCTTTTTGTGGGAAGGTCGAGTGGGCAAGGGCCTCCTTCCCTGCGGACCCGCGGCCTGTCCCCCACCCAGCGGTACCTGTGTGCAGTGACAGGGTGGCTGGGATTGAAATTCACCTCCTCCTGCCCCCAAGCCAGCACCTTTTCCTCTTCCCCCCGAACAGCTTTACAGAAATAGGGTTCACCTACCATACGATTTGCCATTAAAATGTACAATTCCATGGCTTCTAGTACCCTCAAAGGTGTGCGTCTAGTACCCTCAAAGGTGTGCGTCCAGCCCCACAGTCAATTTCTGAATCTTTTTTTTTTTTTTTTAAGATTTATTTATTTGAGAGATTGAGAATGAGAGAGTACACGAGAGGGGGGAGGGTCCGAGGGAGAAGCAGGCTCCTCGCCGAGCAGGGAGCCCGATGCGGGACTCGATCCAGGGACTCCAGGATCATGACCTGAGCCGAAGGCAGTCGCCTAACCAACTGAGCCACCCAGGCGCCCAATTTCTGAATCTTTTGATCATCCCCTACAGAAGCCTGGTACCCTTAGCTGTCCCTCCCCAGTGTTCCCACGCCCCCGGTCCCTGGGCGCCCCTGGTCTCCATTCAGTCTCTACGGATCCACCTGTTCGAGACATTTCGTGTAAATGGAATCCGACACTGTGTAGTTTTGGTGCCGGGCTTCTTTCACTCAGCACATGCAATGTTTTCAAGGCTCAGTTGTGTTGCAGTGTGGATCCCTACTTCCTTCCTTTTTATGGTTGAATAATACTCCATCGTCTGGATGGACCACAAATTGTCTACTCAGTTGACAGACACTTGGGAGGTTTCTGCTGTGCGGCTACTATGAATAATGCTTCTATGCCGTCCGTGTACCCGTTCTTGCGTGGATGCATTTGTAGGCGTGGAAGCACCAGGGCCCATGCTAACTCTCCATTCCACCCGTTGAGGACTCGCCAGACTGTCTCCAGTCTCCGGGCCAACAGCCTGCTGCCCCAATTCCAGATTGGCCAAAGCAGGGTCTCCTCGCCTGGGGTCTGTGATGGGCCTCAGGTGGCCTCTGACCCCTCATAAGGAGGCACACACCTCGTGTCTCTGCGTTTTTCTGGGGGTGAATGTCCAGGACACAGAGCGTCTTGGAGTCTTCAGATCCTCCCAGCTCCTAGTGGTCCAAGGTTGCACATCAATGCAGTGTGTTCCAGTCTTGTCTCTGGACGATTCTCATGGGACTTGCTCGAGACTAAGAAATACAGCCTGATAAGTGGTGAACATGCCATGTGACCTTGGCTTTTTTTCCCCTCTCTCTTTTCCCGGTGTTTCTCCCTCCTGGGACCCAGCAAGGAGAACTTCAACAACGTCCCTGACCTGGAGCTCAACCCAATCCGATCCAAAATCATCCGTGCCTTCTTCGACAACAGGTGCGTCTTTGTCCCTGAACCAGCCCTAAACCAAGCTACTCTTGTGAGGGGCGTCCCATCGTTTTTGCTGTGCTCTCTTCATCAGAAGTGAGTCGCTAGGTCAGCCCACGTGAAGAGAGGGGACTGCACAGGGGCTGGGGGCCAGGAGGCCGGAATCGTTGGGAGCCGTCTTGGAGGCTACCTCAGTTTCTGTACCTGTAAAAGATACGCATCTGCCTCTCAGGGTGGCCGAGGGTGCACTGGGATAATGTGCACTAAGGAGTTGGCTGTCATTCTGCTTGTCACCCTGACGTGCAGAGAAACTGAGGCACAGGCGGTGGTGCAGTGTTCCGGAGCTGAGGCTCCAGCCAGAGCTCGTGCCCCCAAATGTCCAGCATTGTTGGAGTTGAACGACTTGCGTGACGGCATGGAGACTCGCTGTCTGAGGCTCCTTCAAGAGTTGGGTGGTGTACGCCCTCCCCAGGCTGCCAGGGCCCTAGGCCTGGCCCCGCATGTCTACAGAGATGGCTGAGAAACCGGGAGAACCGGCAGAAAGAGGAAGGAAGGGAACAGGCGTGTTGTGGCCAGAAGACGGGTGGTGACTTCCCGGAGGGGTTTCAAGTTTGTGAGCCTGAGCCACTCAGCTCTGGTTCTGCCAAGGCTGTGCGGCCCTAAGCAAGACACTGAGTCTCCCTGAACCTCCCCAGGTTGTGGGTAGGGGTAGGTGTCCTCAGCTGCCCTGAAAGATACAGAGGCCTGCCTGCAGGGCAAGGCCTGAGAAGCTGACCAAGAGTTAACAAGGCAAAGCCGAGAGAAAAGGTGTTCTGGGAGAACTGAACTGCATGTGCAAAGGCCCTGTGGTACAAAAAAGTCGAGCGAGTGTGGGTGGCCCAAAGGAGGTCTGGCCAGAGCACAGAGAGGCCATGCGAGATGAGAGGTGTGGGGAGGGCAGGGCTGCATCGTGCAGCCCCTTGACCGGCAAGAGGGGTCTTGACTTCAACCTGGGAGCAGCAGCGGGGGGTGCTGATGGGTTTAAGGCAGGGTGGGGATCGCAGACTCTGGCTGCCGGTGGGCTGTGGGGGACGGAGGCCCGGGAGAGGGTGTACTGTGTTCCCCCAGGCTGGAGGCAGGGCTGCTGAGGGGAGATGGAGGGCAGCGGGCAGCCCTGTGACACCTGGGAGGGAAGAAGAGAGGACAGAGGGAAGGATGGGCCTGGGGTTGGAGGTGAGCAGCTGGTACCAGAGGACTCTGCACGGACGATTGTCACATTTGCCAGAAGGACGGCACACAGTCTGTGGTGAAGATGGGGTTGGAATGCTCTTTTTGCCTCGTGGGCCCACACCTGCCTGTATGTGTCCGTGAGGCTTGTTTCCAAAAGGCTTTGTGCAGATCTGGCCCCTTGGTAAGCTGGCCAGGCATCGGGGACGCAGCCTTCTGTGGGGCGCAGCTCACAGCCTGAGGTGAGCTAGGGAGGGGTGAGGGCAGTGGCCCTGCTCATGCTAGCTGCCTCCTGGGGCCTAGCAGGCTGGTCCCCTGAGCCTCCCCCTGCCCTAGCAGGGAGTGTGTTCAGACTGGAGAGAGGGTGCTCCTGGTGTGGATGAGAATGTTCTGGGTCCTGACTGGGGCGTGGGTTACACAGGTGCATACTGTTCAAATGCAAAATCTGTGCCTTTGTATGTAATTATTCCTTAAGACAAATCTGACCCCAGGTCGCAGCTTGGCTTTTATCTGTCACCTGTGGGAACTGGGCACGGCTCCAGGAGCTGTGTTTTCGGCTCACGGGGTGGCATTCGGGTGTCTGCTGGGCTGCCGTCCATGAGCCTCTGCCTGGGGGACGGGCCGTGGGCCTGAGGCTGGAGCTGCAGCCTCTGTCTGGCTAGGGGACAGGAAGGCAGGGCCCACGCAAGCAGCCACTGGGCTTGGGGGCGGCCAGTCAGAGGCAGGAGAGACACCCCCCTTCACTTGGAGGGTCCGAAGTTAGGACAGACATCGGAGGGCTGGGGCAGGTGCAGTGCTGCCTGCAAGGGGCGGGGGGGACTTCAGTTGGTCAGGGAACGCTGAGTGTCCAGAAGGTGGACGTCGAACCAAACCTCTGGGGGCCCCTGAGGAGTGGAGGGTGACAGGAGGGGGTGTGCTGGCCCGGGGTGGATGGTGACAACGCCCACCTTGTGGGGCCTGGGGGAGCAGGGGGAGGGATTGGGGTTTACCCTGAGATTCGAAGCCTCTGGAGGTCCTGAAGCCAGGGAGCAGTAGGGTGTGATTTGCATTTTGCAAAGCTCCCTCTGGTCCCGCTGAGGATGGTGGAGGCTGAGGTAGGCCATGGCAGGTGCATGAGTGGGCAGGCAGCCTGGAAATCTCTGAAGAGGGGAAGATTTAGGAAGGACTCCCCCAGCCTTGCCCCAGAACAGCTTGGGGCCTGCAGCTAAGAGCCTGTATACTCTTCTCCATCTTTCATTTCTTTTTTTTTTTTTTTTTAAGGTTTTATTTCTTTATTTGTATGAGACAGAGCAAGCGCGCATGCACTCATGAGAGCACAAGCAATGGGGAGCTGCAGGTAGAGGGAGAAGCAGGCTCCCTGCTGAGCAGGGAGCCCAATGCGGGGCTTGATCCCAGGACTCTGGGGTCATGACCTGAGCTGAAAGCAGATGCTTAACCGACTGCGCCACCCAGGTGTCCCCACATCCTTCGCTTCTTGTCGCGGAAGTTCCAAAGGGGTTGGGGGAGGACTTTGGAGTGGGTCCCAGAGACAGAATTTTCCTCTCAAGAAAGACCAGGGTCAGCCTTGCTTCCCAATCCCCTTCAGGACCTGGACTGTGGATGGAGGGCAGTCCTTCCCCACCTCCAAGGGCTCTGTTCCTTACACAATCATCAGAAAATTAAGGATGAAAAAGATTGCTCTAAACTGGGCATCTTTGCAAAAGGAATGAAAGCTGCCCGCTTGCTGAGGCCCTGCCGTCTGCCGCCAGGCACCATGCGGCCATGAGGCGGACCCTGCTGGAGCCCCGCCTGGAACGTGGGCCCTTCCTGGCACCTTCTGCAAAGCACGTTGCTAGGGACAACCTCGAGGCTGCCTTGACTTGTTAAAAGATCTGAAGTTATCAGTAAACTTTGCACTTTGGCGATAAACCAGTGACTCAGCGCTCCCGAGCTGATCACTACCGGAATTGCAAACAGCTTGATAGAGAGCAGGAGTCGGCTAACTTTTTCTGTAAAAGGCCACAGAGTAAATATTTTAGGCTTCATGGGCCATGTAGAGTCTGTCACAGCGGCTCAGCTCTGCCGTGGTGGCATGAAAACAGCCACAGACACTGAGTAAATGAATGGGTGTGGCTGTGTGCCAATAAAACTTTATTTAAAGACATTGACATTTGAATTGCACGTAATTTTTATGAAATTTTGTCATGAGATGCTATTATTACTTTGGGTTTTTCCTCCCCCCAAACATTTTTTCAACTATTTAAAAACCTAGGGGCGCCTGGGTGGCTCAGTTGGTTAAGCGACTGCCTTCGGCTCAGGTCATGATCCTGGAGTCCCGCGATCGAGTCCCGCATCGGGCTCCCTGCTCGGCAGGGAGTCTGCTTCTCCCTCTGACCCTCCTCCCTCTCATGCTCTCTGTCTCTCATTCTCTGTCTCTCAAATAAATAAATAAAATCTTTAAAAAAATAAATAAATAAAAATAAAAACCTAAAACCCCCTCTTCATCCATGGACTGGACAGAAATAGGCGGCACGCGGGGGTTGGGCCATGGACAGGAGTTGGCCAGCTTCGGATCTGGAGGAAAGGGTAAGGAGAGGTGGCTCGATGAGTTACTGAATTGCTCAGTGCCTTGGTTTCCCCACGTGTGAGTGCCCACTCCTGGGCACCCTGGCCCTCACCAGCAGCAGTGTGGTTGTGGTCTCGCCCCGGCCCCCTGTGCGGTGAGCGCTGGGAGGGCAGCACTGGGCTTGGGCTAAACCTCCGGGGGCACCCCCCTCCCGCCCTGGCGCCCCTGCAAGCAGGTTGCTGGGACACGGAACCCAAGGCTGAGACGGCCATCGCGGGCGAAGCGTTGGCCCAGAAGGGCCGCGTTCCCCGAAGCATTGCAGGCGAAGGGACAGGATCTGGGGTTCACGCGCTGCCGCCATGTCCCTCTCTGCTCCCGTAGGAACCTGCGCAAGGGGTCCAGCGGCCTGGCTGACGAGATCAACTTTGAGGATTTCCTGACCATCATGTCCTACTTCCGGCCTATCGACACCACCATGGACGAGGAGCAGGTGCAGCTGTGCCGGAAAGAGAAGTTGAGATGTGCGTGCGCGTCGGGGCCGGGCCGTGTCTCCCCGGGTTCCGCCGCGCCCCTGCAGCTGGCGGGTGGGCGAGTGCGGAGGGGAGGGCTGGGGGACGCCAGCCCGCGTCCTTTGGGAGGTCCGTCCCAGTTGACAGCACCCATAGAGGCCCCCAGGGGGTGATTCTCCCCCCAGGTTGTGCCGTGGCGGCTGGGGTTCTCGGGGGATGTGAAAAGAGCAAGGCCCTTGGTTCAGACAGACCTGGGCTCCCATCGGGCCCCTTCCGCTGAGCAGCTGTGTGACCTCGACCCGGAACACGGGGTGCTGATCGTGAACACACGCTGGTTCTGAGGCTCAGTGAGGTCACCCAGGTGGCGCGCACCCTTGGCACCTGGGAGGAGCTCCGTGAACCTGTTTCTTCCCTCGTCCTTGAGCTGCCTCAGACGCCAGGTTCACCAGACGGGCCTCTGGCTGATCTGTCCCGGCGGAGCCCCCCTGGTCCCTGGGCTCTGGAGCCTGCGTCGTCGTGATCCAGGCTGGCCAGCAGCACGGGGTCCCGGGGTGGCCTGCGTCACGCGTCCCTGCCCCGTGCGGACTTTCCCAGGACTCCTGACATCCCGCCGTAGGCCACCCAGAAGCTCAGGCTCGTTAGCGGGAATAAGTAAACATGGGGACTGGGCCGTATTTAGCTCTGGAATGTGTACGTGAGGGCTGGTGGGAACTGTCCGGGCTGGGGGCCCCCGGGGCCCCCCTCTGGTGCTCTGGACCAGCGGGGGAGCCCGGTGTCGGCCCAGCGTCCCACCTGCTCTGAGGGCCGGGTCAGGGGTCGTGGAGACTCCCGGTTTCCCTTCCCTTAACGGGGCGGCTGTGGGCAAACACGTTAACTTCTCTGAGCTTCCACAGTACAGTCTGTGTGTGAAATGGGCTCAGGGCAGCCTCGCCTCGCGGGGTCACGTGCAGATGAGACGTGAAGATGTTTGCCGCATGTTGCCCGGGGTGTCCGGTCGGTGCTGGGTCAGTGGCAGCGTGGGGGACTCGGTGAGCTGCAGGCTGCGCTGCTGGGCCAGAGGGGCTGCCTTCCCTTCGGCTCCTGGCCTCTCCTGGGCTGCCCGATGCAGAGTGATGTCCATCAAGGAGCAAAGCGAATGACACAAAGTGGACTAACCAGAGGAGGTGCTGGTGTCCCTCCCCTGTGCCCACGGGGGGCCGGCTCAGACCAGCCAGGGGCTGGAATGTTGGCAGTGGGGTCCATGACCTGCCGATGAGAGCTGCCTGCTTGGGTCTTTGAGGAATGATGCCTCTTAAAAAAAAAAAAAAAATCTTAAGTAATCTCTGTACACAACACGGGGCTCAAACTTACCACCCCGAGGTCAAGAGTCGCACGCTCTTCCAGCTGAGCCAGCCAGGCGCCCCGAGGAATGATACTTTGAAATAACATTGATCTGTCTTTGCATCAATGTCCCCTCTGTGCTCAGAGTGTGCCGGGATCCCTGGTCCTGATCCGCCAGCTCTGTGGTTCCCTGAGCCCGTGCAGCACCCGGAAATAGACGCTGTTGTTGTTATTCCCATTTGACAGATGGGAAAGCTGAGGCTCAGAGAAGTTAGGTCACTTGCTCAAGGTCACCCACCAGGAAGTAGGCAGTCTGACCCCATGGCCTTTGCCCTTGACCTCTACATTATGGATGTCTTTGGCTCATTTTGGGCAAGAAGGTTGGGGAAGCAGGGGGACGTGGGGCTCCCCTCCCGGCTCGTCTGACCGAGCCCCCCCCTGTCGCCCCCAGTTCTGTTCCACATGTATGACTCGGACAGCGACGGTCGCATCACCCTGGAAGAATATCGAAATGTAAAGTATGCTCCTCCGCCCGCCGGCCAGGGCTCCTGGCCCCTCCCCGCCCCCGGCCCGGACGGAGGCCCGAGGTCACCGTGTGTCTACCTCACCCGGCAGGTGGTGGAGGAGCTGCTCTCCGGAAACCCGCACATCGAGAAGGAGTCGGCCCGCTCTATCGCCGACGGGGCCATGATGGAGGCGGCCAGCGTGTGTGTGGGGCAGATGGTGAGCCGTGTCCCCGGAACCCCCAGCTGACCCTTGCCCGGCTTGCTTCTGGAAGGCCATGAGGGGAGACCCCCAGGCCATCGGCTTGCCACACTGTTGTCAATGTAGGACCGTGGCTGGGAGGGGATTTCTGGCCTGGGGACGGATGGGGTCAGCAGGGGCTGCCCTCTGGGCTCCTTCGTTTGGGGCCCCGGCGCGGACCTGGGAGTGGGGACGTGCGTCAGCAAGATGGAGGAGCGGGGCTCAGGGCCGGCGCCTGTGGAGGGGAGCCCCCCGCCGGTCCCCAGAAGGGATGCGCGGGCCAGAGGCAGGTGGCCGTGGAGGCTCCACGTTGCCGCCGAGGGCCGGTGGCAGGGCTGAGCATCAGGGTCTCTGCACGGGTTCTGGACACCCCCGGAGGCTCGTCGGGGTTGTGCTGGTGTCGAGACGGCTGGGGCATTTCTCAGGACCATGCGAGCTGGTTAGAGCAGGGCCGCTCCCCCCCGGTGCTGGTGACTCATGGGGCGGGACAGCCGTCCGTGGTGGGGACCGTCCTGTTCAGCCGCGTCCCTGGCCTCCACGCCCTGGATGCCGGTCACTCCCTCCCAGTTGTGACAACCAAGAACGTCTCCAGACATGGCCAGGTGTCCCTGGTGGGGGAGCGGGTTCATCCCCAGTGAAGACCACGAACGAGAGGGGCACAGACGTAGATGGTCAGCAGACCGACTGAGCCGGGGCGACCAGCAAGCACGTGCTGGGTTGTCGGGCTGTGGAGGCACCTGCAGATACGCCCCAGGCAGGCCAGGCGCCCCCCGCGACGCTCCTGTCCCCGAGGGCAGTGGCACGGTCTGTGTACACGTCCTAGGGACACCCCATGCATCGTTTCGTAGATCTGTAGTCTCGTGTTCCCGGTGGGGAAACCGAGACCCAAGGACATAAAGAACTTTCTGGAATTCGGGGGCAGCGATCCTTACTATGCTTGGTGGACTCACTCTTGTAGGGCTGGGTCTAGCCTGGCTAGCCCTTGACACGGTGGCTTTGAGCCCCAGGGACCCCGAGGACAGGCACCCGACCCTCTCTGTGACTTTGCTCGCTGAGGGTTTCGGCTGGTCCCACTGAGGCCATCGCCTCCTCACACCTGTGTGTTTCACGTGGCCGTGGCTCCAGACACCTGTGGCTTTGGGCTCACCAGGGCCTGAGCGGACGGGTGTCTTCCTGCCGGAACCTGCTCTTTGTGCCCCAAGCCTGCCATCGAGGGCCTGCTCCCCGGGGGCGGGGGCTGTGGTCATTGTGGTCATCGTATTGGCCTGTGTTTTATCGGTCTGCCCCTCAGACCCCGGTGGGGGGGGGCTTCTGGGAAACCACCCCACTCAGCGAGCTACCTGCGGCCCAGAGGGCTGGTGACCTCAGTGGGGAGCGCGGGGATCCCCCGCCCTGTTGTCGGGCCAGGTTCCCGTTTGATTTAGTGACGCTCTCCTCTAAATGGCTCCCCATCCCACTCCACTTTCAACTGGTGACAGTTTTCTTAATGTGCTGTAGTAAAACAGTTGGCTGACAGCTGCTGACCTGCATAAGCTGCACAAACCTCAGAAGCGGAGGCGTCTTCGAGCCGACGCCTGCGCCCCGGGTGTGCGCCCCGGGTGTCTTTCTTTTATTTACGGGTCCTCGGTGTGTTCTTTTTTTTTTTTAAAGATTTTATTCATTTATTTGAGACAGAGAGAAAGAGAGAGAGCACATGAGGGGGGGAGGGTCAGAGGGAGAAGCAGGATCCCCGCTGAGCAGGGAGCCCGATGCGGGACTTGATCCCGGGACTCCAGGATCATGGCCTGAGCCGAAGGCAGTCGCTTAACCGACTGAGCCACCCAGGCGCCCCTTCGGTGTTCTCTTAAAATATTTTTTCCTACAGACGTCGGCCGGATACACACACGAGCTGTGGGGCGAGGGCCGGCCCCGCAGCTCAGTACCGCGCGGCCTCCGAGGATGCTGAACGGGCCGCCCGCGGGCTCCCAGAGCCGGCTCTTGCCCAGAGCAGTGCTGGCTTTCCCGAGTGCGACTTTCTCTGGAAGGACCCGTGGCTTGAGGACGGGGCTGCTAGGCTGGGGTCTCAGCTGGGGGGGGGGGGGGGGGAGGAGGGCTTCCCCCACCCGCCCCTGCCCTCCCTCCACGCGCACCCACCCTCCCGCCCTGCTCTCGGGCCGTGGAGCCCCGTCTGTAATTAGCTCTCCTCGGCTGTCCTCTCTCTGAAGGCGTCCCCGGGTCCCCGGGCGGGAAGAGCAGGGAGCCCCAGGGGACAGGCCGGGGAAACTGGACAACTGGTCGCATTGGTAAGATTTGAAAGCGTGTGTAGGTTAGGTTTCTGTACGAAAAACCAGTGTTAGGAAACCACAAAGGGTGAGGACTCCGACCGGACGCTTGGGGCCTGCTGGGCTCCTCCCAGCCGGACCGATGGCCTGGCCTCCGTGGGCCCAGTGGCCTTCTCTCTAAGATGGGGGTAAGCGCAGGGCCCAGGCGGCAGACACCCAGGGTGCGCGCGGTTCCCTCCCTAGACGGCAGGACAGCTCCGGAGACGTGTGCGATCTCCTGGGGCTTATCTTTCGGTCCTCGCCGGCGTGTACGTGTGTCTTTTCTTTCTGATTGACACGAACTGGAACTGAACGGACCGCTTCTCGTCCTCTCCGCACGGCCCCCCCCACCCATCCACTGCGCGGACGGTGGCTGTCCGCTTAGCGCGGGAGCTGTCGCCACCTGCCTGCGTGCTTCTGCTTGCTCTGTATCTGGAGCCTTTTCCGCATTCGCACGTGGAGAGTGACCCCTTCTTAATGGCTGCTCAGTAATCGGTAGCACAGAGGACCAGGATTTATTTAGCTTGTCTTCCGTGGACGGATGGCAGCCGGGCTGTCGCTGCCCCAAAGGGTGCTGCAGGCGGGGGTGAGGTTGGGGGAGGCTCGGCGGTGCCAGAGCCCGAGATAGCAGCACAAGGGCCAGGAGCCCCACCTCTGGCCTCATGGGGTCCGGGTGTGCCGGAGCCGGACAGACGCAGATGGAGACTGGCACTGACCGTGACCGGCTGGGGGAGAGGCCCAGCGGGTGGCCCTTATCATGGTGACTCGCTGGGCGCGAGGGGTGGGCCGCAGAAGGCAGCCCTCCCGCCCCCCCACCCCCCACCCCTGCCCCAGTGGTCAGTGAGCTCAGAGGGTCAGGGCGGGTACAGTGAGGCAGGACCGGGAAATGGCAGGAGGTGTCCGTTGGTGGCTGAGGGGAAAGGGAGTCTGTGCCCACCCACTTCCTTTACACCCTCATCCACCGGGTCCCCCCTGGGGGGCTCGGTGGGGCCCTGGTTAGCCCGCACCCTCCTTCTATCCTGCTGTCCCGCCAACGAAGGGGACGTTGCAGTTCAGGGTGATGGCCTCAAGCTGGACGCAGCAGTCGGGAGGGAGCCGCTCTTCTCGTGACTGAAGGGGCCCCACCATCTGTGTCCTGGGGAGGGACAGGGGTCTCCTGGCGGAAGCCGCTCACTCTGCTTGTGCTCTGTTCCCAGGAGCCTGACCAGGTATATGAGGGGATCACCTTCGACGACTTCCTGAAGGTGGGTGTCTAGGAGGAGAGGTGGGGCTCGAGGGGTGTCCGCTGGTCAGGAAGAGACCCGCATCTCTGTGGACACGGGTCATGCCTGGGCGTCACCTTTAAAACACAGGTTTGACTGACTTTTATTGGAAGAGTAACGTTCACTTGCGGCCAGGGCACTGGAAGGAGTACAAAGGGACTCCAACAAAACCTGTCTCTCTCCCACGAGTCCCCGGTCGCCTTTGGGTCGCCTTTGTCATAAGCATCGCTGTTGATGGTAGGAACCAGGTTCTGGAGTGTTCTATGCCCCTCATGAATACCAGCTGTGTGGGGTTTTGTCGCTTGCTTTTCCTTGGCTATGGCTGCCCAGTCTCGCAGCCCCCACGGGTGGGCGCCAGGCCTCTGCTGTCCCGAACGTGCTCTGAGGTTAGGAACCGGGACCCCTCACTGCTCTGATGGGTACATGCCCAGCGGAGGGAGGCAAGCCCACTCTGCCCTCTGCCTGGCACTGCGTGCGTACCTTGAGAGTGGGTCGGCCAGGCTCGTTCTGGAATTAGAGGAAGGACAGGAAGTCAGGGGAACAGGACCCGGAGGCTCTGGTCCAGTGTGCCACACCAGCCTCCGACCGGCCTGAGGGAGCGGACGGGCCCGGGCCTGGAGCCAGGCCAGGACTCGGGTGGTCACAGCCCCACGGAGCCCAGGGGCGGCTCAGATGGGTGCTCCTCCCAGGCTGCACGGCTAACCTGGCCGGGCAGCAGTGAGCTCTGCAAGGGAGAGGGCAGGCAGCAGAAGCTTCTGGGCCGAGGTGGGCAGCCTCCTCTGTCCCCACACACCAGGCCTGGGCGAGCAAAGAAGCCCGAGAGAGCCCGCTTCTTCCCCAGAAGGCTTCCCCTATCCGCCGCCCCACGGCTCCGGTGCTCCCCAAGCCTGTCCCCATACCACGGGGGCCTTTCCTGACCCGCTGGCCCTTCCCCTCCCCTGAGCCTCACCAGTGCCCCTGTTGCCACCTGGCATTTAGCAGACAGCACCCTGGGTGCCCAGGTAGCTTCCCTGGGAATGAGGGTTGGAGCTGCTCCCCGGGAGCCGGCTCTGATCGCTCTGCACCCTCACCAGGCCCCACAGCACCCAGAGCAGGTGCAGGAGACCACAAAGTAGCTGGGGGACGGTGGGCATGTGACAGGGGCAAGAATGGCACCCAGGCCTCCCTGCAGCGTGGGCGCCGATGGGGCTCTGACTGCAGCCTGCTCACAGCCTGGTGACTGTCCCTGGAAATGCTGCAGGTGACAGCCCGAGAGTTTGAACTTCTCACACAAGCAGGGAGACAGAGTTGTCTGTCTGATGGATGCATCCAGCCATCTCTCCATCTGTGGCCCTCTCGGGCCCCGAGTGGCCAAGGAGCTGGCAAGTGTAGTCCTGGGAGTGGGGAGGGGGGGCTTTATAGTGTGGCAGATAGGGTCGGGCGGCCTCGGGGTGTCCCCCGGGGCCCAGGCCGGGATGGACTATAACGGCAGAACCAGGACCAGGTAGGTATGAGGCAATGGGCATCTGTGGGCAGAAATTATCCTTCCCGGGCATAAGCTTGTGTGTGTAGAACAGGGTGACCTATCCCAGGGACGTTAGAAAGACCAAACTGCTGTGACCTTTTAACTAAGGAAGATGGCTTAATACAACTTGGCAGTTGCACAGTGCTTCGTAGCTTACAAAATGTTCCCGCGGATGATTCCGTTTGAGCCCCCAGCGTTGCGTGACTTACGTGGGCAGCGCAGGTGGTGGTCTCGGCATTGTACCGATGAAGAGGAGGTTTAATGGGGTTAAGGAATCTGCATGAAAATCAGCCGGGGGTGGGTGGGATTGAAATGACGTGGAGCCCAGAGCTTGGATTCTGTTCTTAATAATAACTTGCTGTGACAATATCAGAAAGACTCCCAATGTCAGAGCCAAATTAACCCGCAGAAAGGCAGAGGGAAGTTTCTCTTTCTCGCTCAGCTCACGGTCTTGAAGTCAGCCCTCTGGTTTTCACCTGCCCTGGTGGGGGGAGGGCGGGCGGGGGGACCCGGGCGAGGCCCCGGGCCGGGCGGGGTGGGGACACGCGCTCACACTGCGCTGTCTGTTGCAGATCTGGCAGGGGATAGACATCGAGACCAAGATGCACGTGCGCTTCCTTAACATGGAAACCATCGCCCTCTGCCACTGACCCGCCTGCCCCCCGAAGCCGTGCCCGCAGCCTCCCGCAGGGCCCGAGGCCGCAGGTGTCCTTCGGCCACCGCTCTTGTAAATAGTCCCCAGTCCTCCGCTGTCTCGTTTTCCCGAAGGTGTGGTACGTGGAACTTCGCTGTTTTTATCTCTAATAAAAAAAGAAAATGGTTGGTTTGTTAAAGAACGTGGCTCCTGTCTGTTCCCCACGGCCACTTGGTGGTCTGGCCACTTGGTGGCACGAGGCTGAAAAGGAGCAGGCAGCGGCTAGTTTCCAAAGGCTGGTTTGGCAGAGAGGAGGTTTTTTCCTGCTTTTTCTGGTTTAATTTGGGTGAAGTGTTGGCTCTTTTCGCCACACGAGTGCTGGGCAGTCAGGTGAGGCATGGCAGCTCCCCGCTCCATGGTGGCCGGGATGTGGGTGGCAGGGCTGCCGCGGTGTCGTGACCGAGTGTCTGGGCCGGAGGAGAGGGCGCGGGGGACCCGCGGTGACGTGCCTGAGGAGGCCTGGCTGCCGACGCCCTCCCGGGCCCAGCGTGGGGCAGTCCCCTGTGGTGGTGGCAGCAGGGGAGGTGACTGTCCCAGGTCAGTGGCTCCCAAAGCTCCAGAGTCCCCTTCTGATTCAGGGGCGGGCTATGCTGGGGGCAGGGAAGTGAAGGTTGTCCATCCAGTTGGGGGCTGTGGCCGGTGGGTCAGCAGGGGCCGGCTTGGGCTCAGTGCTCAGAGTCGGCGCTCAGGGGGGCCGGCGTGGCTATGGTCACTGTGGTCACTGTGGTCACTCGCTGCTGGTGGTGTTCCAGGCCTCCTCGCTCAGTTCCTTCCGTCCACACTCACCGGGAGGTTCCTTCCTAGCCTCCCGAGAAAGTTCTGGTAACTGACAACAGCTGTTACTGGTATTCTGCATTTCCATGGCTTTGTTACTAGGTGTGCGTCGGGGTTCAGAACATGGAGAGGTGCAGGAGGGCACCCCACGCGGCTTGATCCTGGGCCCACCAGGCCCTGGCTTGCCCTTCCCGGAGGCACTCAGGTCAGCCCATTTCTTCGACATCTTTCCAGGGCCGTTCATGCGGACACGACTGCAGTGCTGAGGATTTAAGTGAGAAGCTGGAACCAGGCAGTGAGGCGGGGTGAAGGGGAGCGTGACCGTGTTTGGGGCGGAAGTCCCGAGGCTGGTGCACCTTGGTGGTGGGGGTTTGGCAAACGCTCATTTAGGACCTTGGAGGTGAGAGCGGACCCTTGCTGGCGTCCTGTTGGTAGTCTGCGCGTAGCAGGACTGCCCCCCGGACCCCGGGGCCTGAGGGATGCTGGCCTCCACTCCTCCAGGTCAGGACAGACGGCTGTCCGGCAGCGCGGCCCCGTCTGTGCGGAAGTAGAGAGCCGTCTGAAGTCTCTCCCAGAGCTCTGCTGCTTAGACTAGCACTTCTCGAGTGTTTTGCCATTTCCAGAGCGGTAGGTGGGGGGCGAAGGCAGAGGCCTCGGCTTCCTCCCCTCCAGGTGCCCGCCATCAGGTGGGCCGAGGAGTGGGACACGGGGCCCCTGCCTGCCCCGGCTGCTCGGGGATCGTCCCGCTCACGCCATCGGTTTCGCGGCTGCCAGTGGGATGGCCTGGTGCGTGGAATCCGGCGCTCTGTCAGCAGCCTCCCTGCTGGGGGAGCCCCCTGCAGCCTCGCGGAGGCGGCCTTCCCCGCCTTCCCCAGCCCCGGCACGCGGGACGGGGACCCCCTGTGCCTTTGAGCAGGACGGCTGGTGTGGCGTCCGTAGGCCTGGATCTTCTGGGACTCTCCCAGTCGGCTTTGATGTTGTGCTCCTCCACAAAGGCAGTTCGTTAGTGTAAAGTGTTTTGTATAAATAATGAATCTTCCATCAGCCCCTGTGGCCTGAGTTTTAGTTTGGGAGACGTGGGCATACGTGCGTCCCCCGTGGGCAAACATCAGACGTTTTCATGTGCTCAGGCCACTGAGGGTCACGACTTGCCTAAACAGCTAGTTAGAATGAGAGCTACTCACCTCGAGCCCCGTCCGTGTGGCTCCAGAGAGCTCAGTTGTTCCCAGTCACCGAGGGTGTCCTCTGACTGGCAGGGTTAGGGTGGCCTGCGGGGTTGCCCGGGAGCCCTCCCAGCGGCTCCCAGGGTGCTAAGTGCGTGAGGTGGCCGTTTTGCTCATTCGGTCCTTTGGGGGATGGTCAGGGTTGCCTGTTAGTTGGTGCAAACCTGCTTGTAGAAAGGGCAGGTTAATTCCCCACAGTCTAGCCGGGCTGCCGGCCTTTGGTTCACAAAGAGCCGCCACTCCGGGCACGGGGGGCAGGTCTCGGGACGGCCATTTGGGCGGTGCGGTCTATGCAGAGGCAGGAGGCTCCGAAACCGTACCTGTTACCTGCCGGGCCAGCGAGGGTGCCCAGGAGGGGCTTTTGGGCTGCACAGCCACCCCCCCCCCGGGGTCCTCGACGGGGCACCTCATCTGAAGCAAGTGATGTGTGTTTTGGATTTGTTCTAGAACGGGCAGGTTGGTGAATCAACAGACCCCCTTGTTGAACAGCCCTCCCTCTATCAGGAATGACACCAGCGGCTAAGAGGAAATGGGAAATCAGTGCTAAGTCAAATATTTGAGGGAAGCGCGGTCACGCTTGGAGGGCCTCGGGCTGTGGGTGGGGACCGAGCTCGGGGAGGGTGCGTGCCAGCGGTCAGGTCGCACGCGGGGCCCGGTCCCTGCCGCCGCGTCACGGAAACGTTACCGGAACTCAGCTTTTAGATGTTAAAAGAATCTGGCAATGGGACACAAATGCATCGGTCTGGTAGGTTCACCAGAGGGCTGTGTCACGGAAATTGAAGAGGAGAAGCTCGGAGGACACATCCTGCAGCCACGTTGGACAGGAATCATGGTAAGGGAAGAGTGTATGATCACCACAGCTCCCAATCCCGGCCAAGCACCCTCTGCTGGACTTGAACAGAACAACTCCATTCTTCTCTGGCCCAAGGGACTAGAAAGTTCTTTTAGTGCTCTGCTCATGGGAGGCCGGGCCCCTGTGTAGCTGCCCGTGCCCCCACCTGCCTGCCGAGCCTAAGCCGCTGAGAGAGTTAAACATACACGTCGCCTTGGCAAGGGTTTTGCAAACACCTGCTTTGCAAGCTGTCCTCCCACACGGTGACCTTGGGAAGGCCTTGGAGAGGGGAGCCAGAGGAGCCAGGTTGCTTTTTTTTTTTTTTTTTACCACAACTTCCCGGGGCATCAGCATTGCTTTGTCTCTGGGCTCTTCCAGAATCGGGAGGCAAGTGCCAGCTGGGGTTCAGTGGTGGGTGATCTTGGCCCCGCGGTGGCTGCTCATCCCTCTAACCCGACCAAGTCAGCAAGGGGACCAGGCTCCTCCGTGTTCAGCCCCAGGGCAGCCATCAGGGCGAGGGGGATGCTGAGCAGCAGCTCTTGCCCCCCCCCCCCCCAGAGGGCACGGGGCAGCGTCTATGCTGGCGGTGGGCATCGGAGGCCAAAAGCCTGCCCTGCCTGGCGCCTGCCGGAGCCCGGCGAGAGGGAAGCCACCACACCCGGCAGAGCGAGGCCGGCAGGGCCTGCCCAAGCAGCCAGGTAAGCATCTGGCCCGGCCGCAGGGGCGAGGCAGGCGGGCGGGCGGGCGGGCGGGCGGGCGTGGCTCACAGAAGCTTCTGGCCGCTGCTGCCCATGACGGCAGGCCACCAGCCGGTTCTAACAGGAGGGCTGTGTCCTCGGGGGGAGTGGGGGGGGTGGGGGGGGAGGAAGCCATTTCTCCTCCATGGTGGGCAGGGTCCATCTGCAGTAAGCTGCTGTTTGTCACTTAACTGCAGGGGGGGGAGGCGCCGTCTGCCTAAATGTGGGGCCTCTAATTCCGAAGTGGGGTGCTGGGGTAGAGGACTTCCTCTTTCCCTTTCAGAACAGACCGAAAGTCTCCTCTTGGGGGCATTGTCAGCCAAGGTGCGATTTCTCCCTCCTGGGGAAGGTGAGGCCATCCCCAGAGTAGCTTTTAAACACACGTTCCTGGTGCTCGCTTCGGCAGCACATATACTAAACACACGCTCCTGGCTGGGCAACGGCCACACCAGGGCAGCTTGTGGCTTGGCTTACAAGGCACAGTCTAGGGGCAGAGAGGAAATTCTCTGGGCTGGGGTGGGGGGTGGGCGCGGCAGTCCCCTTCGGGAATCTGATGAAAGCCAACCGGACTTCTTCCCAGAAAGTGCTCCAGTGTAGTTTTGGGTCTCTTGGATCCCGGGCTAGGAGCCCCTGGAAGGGGTGGTTCTGGGTGGTTCAACTCCACTCTGGGCCAGAGCAGGTACCGTGGTAAGTGGGGGTCGGTCCCAGGACACCTGGCCGGGGAAACCAGTAATTGAACAAGCAACGGATTTTAAAAATTTATTAGAACCAACAGACATAAAGTATAAGCAAAAGGCAGACAACATTTTAAGACCCACGAGCTCTGGCGCTGGGCCCTCTGGCTCCCCCAGTGACATAGGAGTTTCTTCTCTCTTTAGGGGAGACGGAGGGGAAGCGTCTGAGCAGCAGAAGAGCTACAGAAGAAAAGGACATGATACATCTGCTCACAACTCCGAACTTGCAAAGAAACTCCCTCAAACTAGCCAACGGGGATGAAGGTAAGGTGGGATGAGCGGAAGGGGTGGGCGTGGGCCAAAGGGTTTTAAGTCACTGGGTAAATGTTGATTTCTAGAGGAACTCTGGTCCTTTCCCCACCTTCCACGGTGTAAAGTTTGCAGTAGCAAACTCTGGGATTCAGTCTGGATCTGATAAACCCTCCTTCACAAAACCAGGCAATTTTCCTTAAGGAGAGAGGTTATAAACAGGGAGGAAAGAAACTCCCTATAATCGTGACATTTTACACTGGACTACTGTTGGCAGCGAATGACAATAGTTTAAAACTATTTTTAGTTTTGGTAGAATTTTCTGGGTTTTCAAGGACCTTTCATGGCTGCAAAGCTGGGAAGGGAGAACACATCTGTAAAATGGTGAAATCAAACTGGAAGAGCCTCTTAAAAATGTGTTTACTTAGTGGTCCAGTTGCACTAAGGCTATGAGATGAAAAACCTTACAGAGCGAGGTCACGAGGGGGTCAGAGCACCACATGACAACAGGAGTAAGCAAAATACTTCATCTGCTAACTGCAGACTAGCTTCATTTCGGAAGTAATTTGGTTGAAAGGAAGCAGAAGGCCGTCTGAAAGCAAGGGATGATTCCCAGGTGCGGCTCTTTCTCTTTCTCTGGGTCCACTGTCCTATTGAGTTGCACGGAGGTTTGTAATCATGGAATATCTGAAGCACTCTGAAAATACTTCCTTCTAATTTTGTACACTCGTGTACAGGAGAGCTTCGTTTTTCTCTCGGATTCATGTGGGTAGATCATCCCCACCCTGAAAATCCTGTGTGCATAATTACCTCCTTTTTGGTTTCTCACAGCCCCTTGTGCTTTTCTGTATCAAGAGGTGTATATTCTGGAGGCGCCTGGGTGGCTCAGTCGGTTGGGCGTCCTGCTCTTGATCTTGGGGTTGTGGGATTGAGCCCTGTGCTCAGCGGGGCGTCTGCTTAGGATTCTCCCACTCACCCCTCTACTCACTAAAAAAAACAGTATATTTCCAAAAGCTGGTCCATTGTAAAATGGGGCGAGCATAGGGTTTTGGTGTTATGATTAACTTTGTTGGTTTTCTATTCCATCAATGGGTGTTTTTAACCCTTCTTTAATTCCTTCCTTGAGGGGTCACTATTTGAGGTGACAGCTAGCCATTTATCTATTTTCTATTCAAGCCTCACTTTGTCCACTCTGGCCTCACCCCTGGAGTTTTGATATTCAGTGTTTTCATGGCCCAGAGGGTTCACATTTTCCATTTTTGTTTTTCATCTAATTTTATTGCATCGGGTCACTGACTTGGGCCTGGATGGGTCTTTGTGGTCTTCAGACAGCCATTTTCTGTGCGTGGTGTGTGGATATTTAAAAAGGCACAAAACTCTATTGGATCATGCTTGTAAATTCTATTAAGTAGATCCTCTGAATCGGAGCAGGACTTTCATATTTTGAAGGGGTACTAGTAACAGTCATGCAGTGGTTTGCCCTCTTCATCTTTTGGAAGAGTTCCCCGGTGCTGCCCTGCTTTAGCCCAGTGGAGGATAAAGGTCTCTTCCCCAGCTCTTCCAGCCTAGGTGGAGGATAACTGTTTATGCAGCCGACAGGTAGAAAATAATCTGTGGTGTCCACAACATGTGATACAAAGTAAACAGTCCTTAATGCAGTAAGTGTATAAATATGTAATTATAAATTGTGGTAAAAACTATGAGAAGACAGTACTACTAGCCTAGGTTTGCACTGGGGGCGGGGGGTGTTATGTGTGATCTGAGAGCAAAGGGCTTGAAGACTGGAAAGGTGGTGAGCAGGGCCCTGCAGGGGTAGTGTACAGACAGCGGGGGGAGACGCACCCCGTCGCCAGGGCAGCAGATGCAGGAGGAAGTGGCACAGTGTCCAGGGAGAGAAAACAACGCCACCATCCTGCCCACAGGCAGTTCAGGAACCTGTGGGGTCCGACAGGTGCGCCCTGGGCTTTCTTCCCCCAGCCCAACCCTTTAAAATCTGGGGCAGAGCTCCGCAGTAGTTTTAAACATCTGCTTGGGTTCTTCCCATCTGACCCCCTGCTCCCCCACGAGGCGCTCCCCTAACCACGGTCCTAGGGAAAGGCGAGCGCAAGGTCGTAGCTGTAGGCTGGCGCCGTGTCGCCGGCCGCTCGGCAGACGGGAAGCGCGCTCTGGAAGGCCAGCCGGTCCACGGCAAACTCGTAGGCGTGGATCAGCCCGCGGTGCCTAGAGGAAGCACACGGACAGTGAACGAGTCAGTACAGGACACCCAGGACAGTGCTTCCTGTAACACGCGTGTCCCTCGGAATGCCCGGACTCGAGACAA